CACTTTAAATGTTAAAATGACGCACCTTAAGTGTTAAAAGGACGCACCTTAAGCTTTGAAAAGATGCACCTTAAACTTTAGAATGACGCACCTTAAGTTTCAACAATAACACACCTTAAGTTCTCAAAATGTAGAACTAACGCACCTTAAGTGTTAAAATGGCACACCTTAAGTGTTAAAATGACGCACCTCAACCAGTTTAATTGGTTTAGAACTTTAGGTAACCTCTGATTTTTTTTTAAAGACAACAACTTAATCCATTAAATCACGTGAAAGATAGTTCCAAGGAACATTGGAGGGGCATCTAACCACTCTCCACAACCTGACTCTGAAAGGGCCTCTCTGGTAACAGTGTGGGCGGCACAATTCGCAAATCGTCTAACAAAACGGAATTGCACATCGTGTATGAATGATGCCAATTAAACTAGTTAAACGGAACTTTAGGTAACCTCTGATTTTTAGTTACCATATTTTCAACCAATTTTTAGTAAAGTCCTAAACCAATTAAACTGGTTGAAACCGAAAAAATAACAAAAGAAAAATATGAAGAGACAAATTAAAATACCCTTACTAAAAATAGAAAAAATTATGCGAAGGACTAAAAATGTCCAAAAAATGATAATATGGGATAAAAAAATATAATGGCAAAAACGATAGTGTAGGACAAAATTTAAAATTGTCACTAAAGACAAGAGACCTCCGATAGAATTAACTCTTTTATTTATGAAACTAGATAAACAATCAATGTTAGTAAATGGGGTTGGTGGTTCTGCCTTTTCCAAATTTTCAAATAATGTAGGCTATGTAGCCTTAACTTTTCATTCATGTATTGGCTTTATCGGCATATCTGCAGTCGAATCCCAGAGAGAAACATGTCCACCGGCGCAAGATTAAAATCTTTGGCTTCTAGCAGTCTGCTGACACTTATTGAAAGTGCTATGACATATTTCGGGATCAGAAGATTGCCCCACCTCAAAATTACTACATATTTTATATAATATAATTCATGCATTATATATTCACTGTTTCTGATGATCAGCTTTGTTAGTTGCAGACTTGCAGGTAGGTACTGTTGCAAATAATGAACCAAATGGATTGAATATTTCAAAATAATATATATATATATATATATATATATATATATTAGCGTTTAAATGCGGCAGTGGCTTTAGGTGCGGCGGTGCGGCTATATCAGCATCGTCCATTTTGCTTAATCTAACGGCAGCGGCTAATTTCTGAAGATTTAAAGATTTAAGCGCGTCCTGATAAGTGGGGGGTGTTATGGTAATTGTAGTGGTCATTTATATCGGCCGCTTCTCAGAATACACCAACAGTGTTAACAAAAGACACCAATAGTGTTAGGAAAAAGCACCACAATGAAATGCACAAATACACCAAAAAACACAACACACTCAAAAAATACACCATATAACTCACCACCCCAATGGTGTATTTCTGAACATTGTGTGGTGCTTTTATTCATATCTAATGGTTTGTTCTGGTGATGCATATCTAATTTGTGACATGTTTTTTGGTGTGCATTTTCTAACATGGATGGTGTATATTTGTATAACTATTAGTGCACCCGCACTGACCGCATGGGAAGGTGCGGGCGCACCTAAACTTGGCACCAACACGAATCCTCAAATACACCACAGTAAGGTTAATAATGCACCAATAACGAACATAAAACACACAACACTATGATTTGATCTATTCAGGTGCCCAATGACGACTTTAACCTTGCAGTTCGCGTAGTGTGAGAACGTGCGCGAAAATATCGGAAAAGCCTGGATGAATGTGATTTGTTGAATTTATCTAATCTAATGGCCTACATTTAACCGCACCGCCGCACCTAAGCGCACTGCCGCACTTGAACCTTCCTCTATATATATATATATATATTTACGAAAAAGATATACTAATATATATAAACCAAAAATTGAAACAAATAATCCTCATATTATAAATCAAATTTAACGACAAAACAAATAGAGAGGAGGATTTTTGCTTAGAAGCATAATTCAAAACCGAAAGAAGGAAAATGTGGCTCGTGCTAGAAGCGTTGTGGCCTAGGTTTTCCAAGATAATACGTGCTACGGTTCAACGTTTGAGCACCCAAACGAATGAACCCGGCGAACTAGAGCAAAGCCTTGAACACAGTTAGGCTTAAGAAATGAGTAGGAGCAAAAGAATTTTGAAGCTTGAAAACAAAATTACGTGTGTGAGCTCTTGTGCTTGTTCTTGTTGTTCTAAAAAGCTTCTTCCCTCTACCACTTCTTATATAGGGGAGGAGTACTTAATAACATTGATCATGGCCATTAAATTTGGCTATGTAACATCTGAAACAGCAAGCCATTTAAATTCAAAATTATTTGGAATTAATTGAGAATTTATTTCCACTTTTGTCTGTTGGCTTTCAGCCATGGACGAACTGTCAATGTTTCGGCCCCAGGCCGAAACTAGACTAGCTTAGTTTCGGCCCCAGGCCGAAACATTGTTGGTCAGTTTCGGCCCCAGGCCGAACCCAAGTGGCTAGTGTGTTGGTTGGAAAAAGGATACCAAAAGTTGGCATAACTTAGCCTAAGGCCAACCAATTTTTGGACGACAATCGTGCCCGCGCACACGAGCTCGGGTTTGAATCAAGCCTTTTCGGTCCCAGGCTGAACCCAAGTGACTAGTGTGTTGGTTGGAAAAAGGATACCAAAAGTTGGCATAACTTAGCCTAAGGGCCAACCAATTTCCGAACGACAATCGTGCCCGCGCACACGAGCTCGGGTTTGAATCAAGCCTTTTCAAACTCATCTCTAGTTGGAATTTGAGATGCACTCCCCCCCCCCCCCCCCCCCCCCCTCCCGTGAGAAAGCCACTATGCTATACAATTTTACAAGCTCCAAAAGAGCTCTTGTATAAAAAGGGGGGCAAATCCTCTTTTCAAACTAATGTGGGACAAAAGCTCACTTTTTCCCTTCAGTTTTCCAACTCTAATGAGTCTAACCTGAATCCACTTTGACCCGACCCATTTCGAAAGTGGACCTCACTGATAATTGTACCACAAAATAACCACTTAAAATGTCATTTTAATTCTATTTTCCAACAGGTAAATACAAGAAAATGAAAAATACTATATAGATTTTCATTTTTTTTATTTCACTCTCAAATTCTTAATATAAGCAATTTTTTTAAGGACTCACATTTAATCTTTATTATTACGGAGTACATTATAAAATAAATGTGAAAAAAAAAAATTAAGAGTATAGATATTATAATCTAAGCTAAGCTAGGTACTAGCTGCACTGCAGTTATTCTCGATCTTGCTACATTTTTGTTGCATAATATATAGGGGTGCAGGAGTTTCTGTGTATCTTCTTGTTTACATGAAGCTTTTGCTAAATGCATGTATTATATTTGGTATGATTTTTTTTTTTTAAATAGTGGATGGGCATTTGGTTGGGATATGGATTTAGAATCGGTTTAAAAACCAAATAATCAGTAATAGTAATGAGTTTAATTTTAAGAAGACTAGAGCAAGTGTTTATTAATAAATAGAATTAGAATTAAAATAAATAGATATATAAATTAAAGATTTACAATACATATATAAACATTCATATATGTGTATATATGTATTAAAATTCTACATCAAATGCATGGAAGATGACTTTTTAGTTTTTATTTTTCTATTTTTCTTGCTCAATTTTTATTATATTATTCAAAAGTAGGGAACTGGAGAACTACTAGGGAAGATAGAATGACATTTATGATATGATTACGGAGGGATTTGAATACAGTAGTGGAGTGTCAAAATTAGACAAACAAACATTATAATTGGAATAAAATTTGATAGCTGGATTCGACTTATTATACTGTGTGTGATTATTGTTAATTATATTGTGATGGTCAATGGCGTGGTGGGGGGCGTGTGACGCCAACCCGTGGGCTTAGACAAGGAGATCCCCTTTCTCCATATCTCTTTATTATTTGTGCAGAAGACCTTTCAATGCTATTGCAAAGAGCACAGATGACTGGATCAATACATAGCTGTAGAGTGGCTAGGGGAGCACCTCCCATGTCACATCTATTTTTTTACATATGACAGCCTATTATTTTTCAGAGCAAATATCCAGGAAGCTAGTATTATTAAACAGTGTCTCATAAGATATGAAAAGTTATCTGGTCAGGTGGTGAATTATAATAAATCAAGTATCTGTTTTAGTCGGAATACCCAGGAGAATGACAGAGATCAAGTGGCGGACTGTCTATACTAGAGGTTGTGCAAGAAGCCAATTTTGGAAAATATCTGGGTTTGTCATCCTTTGTGGGTAGGAATAAAAGAGCTGTCTTTGCATATGTGGATGACAAAATCAAACAGAGAATTTTAGAAAATATCTGGGTTTGTCATCCTTTGTGGGTAGGAATAAAAGAGCTGTCTTTGCATATGTGGAGGACAAAATCAAACAGAGAAATGGATCATGGAATAAAAAGTTGCTTTCCCGACTGGTAAGGAGGTACTGTTGAAAAGTGTGGCTCAGTCTATGCCTACGTTTTCAATGAGTGTTTTTTTGATGCCTGAGACAGTTTGTTTATCTATTGAGCGAACCATGAAAAAATTTTGGTGGGGAAGTGGCGCAGACATAGGAATACATTGGAAGGCTTGGGATAAATTATGTGTCCCAAAGAAATTTGGTGAATTAGGCTTTAAAGAGCTGCGTGCATTTAATTTGGCTATGCTAGGAAAACAGGCATGACGTTTCCTTACTAATCCATCTACTCTAGTGGCGAGAATTTATAAGACTCGGTATTTCCCTACAACTAGTTTTGTCGATGCTACCGTAGGAAATTGCCCAAGTTTATGTTGGAGGAGTTTTATGGCTGCACATGATTTAGTATGTGCATTTAGTATGTGCGGGGATACAACGAAGAGTTGAAAACGGGCAGACAACTCTAATTTGGGGACACCCCTGGTTACCGGACAACCCGGCCCTTTAATTCAAACAATTATGCCTGAGGAATTAAGGGAAGCACTGGTGGCTGACCTAATTGACCCACAAACAAAAACCTGGGATCCACCATATATTCTATCTGATCTTTTTATTCCTGATGATGTGAATCGAATCACTATCATTTCTATTAGCCCGGATTATGAGGACTCATGGTATTGGATGGGGAACCCAACACGGGAATACACGGTCAAGAACGCCTATAGGCGCGTAATTGGGGATTTTGTTAATAGCCCAAGTGCTTTTGATAAATGGGTTACAATGTGGAAATTGAAGATTCCATCTAAATGGAAAATATTCCTTTGGAGAGCTATATGTGATATCCTTCCCACCACTAATAATTTGATTATAAAGAGTGTAGAAGTGAGCCTTGCATGCCCAATGTGTGATCTAGCTCATGAGGATATTATGCATGCTCTAATTTCTTGTGATTATTCTAGGATGGTTTGGAATGTTTCACAATTACCTATTGCAAATATTATGACACATTCTTTTCCATTATGGCTTATGAGTATGCTGAACACCTTGATAGAGGAGCAAATTGGGGTGGCGGTAGGTATGCTCTACCACAAATGGCGAGCCCGCAACTCCGCGGTTTGCGACAAGGCGTTGCCGCGGCCTGGACAAACTTGGAGACGGGCGATGATGGCCGAAAACGCCTATCGGCAGGTTCACCATCGTCAGCAGCGCCCGACGCCCTCAGTATTGCCGATAGCCGAGACACACACCAGACTGAAATGCTTCGTAGACGCTGGCTACAAGTAACCCACGGGAGATGCAACGTACGGAATGGTTCTACTAGGCCACGATGGTTCTTTTGTTGCGGCAAAATGTGGCAAGTTACCCGGTGCCTTTTCACCACTTATGGCAGAGGTATTAGCTTGCAAGGAGGCTCTCTCATGACTTAAGGAACACAATATACTGGAGGTGGACCTACTTACTGATTGCATGGAGCTACGGAACATCATACACTCAAGCTCAACGACTACTTTGTCCTATGTTGGAATGATTACTGACATCTATATCGTCATTTACTCATTGTTCTTTAAATTATATCTCTAGAACATTAAATTTACCTGCTCCTATTTTAACTTCGTTAGCCTTTGATCATGATCAATCTTTGTACTGGAACTCTATCCCTCCTAACTCTATTTCTATGCTCATTTAATAAACATCATCATTATTTTCAACAAAAAAAAAAAAAAAAAAAATTGATAGTATGATACAAACTAATCAAATGCCACCTTAGGCTGTGTTTGGAAACCCGGAAAATGACTTCTAGAAGTCATTTTCCGGGTTTTTGGTGTTTGGCTACACCTGGAAAATCCAGTCAACGGAAAATATTTTCCGTTGACGGGGGAAAATGAGCCCAATTTGGCGGAAAATGACTTCCGCCAAATTTGGGCGGAAGTTGTTTTCCGCCTCTTCTCTTTCGTTTTTTTTTTTTTTTTAAATAATTCTGGCGGAACCCCGAAACCATAGCAGCCCCCTGTGTCTTCCTCTTCTTCCTCTTTCTCTTTCCATCGCCATGAATTACAGGTTTCATAACCTCCTCAGAGCTCCATACAGAGGGGGAAACGCTGTCGTAGTCAACAACAGTCTGTTAATTTCACCGGTCGGTAACCGGGTCTCCGTCACCGATCTCGTCAAATCCGAAACCGTAACTTTACCATGCCAGTCCTCCTCCAACCTTCGTCGCATCGCCGCCTCTCCCGACGGCGTCTTCCTCCTCGCTATCTACGAAAACAACCGGTGCCTCTTCATTAACCTCCGCCGCCGTACCGTCCTCCACCGCATCACCTTCAAACACCCCGTACCGTTTTTATTTTTAGGCCACAGGGAAGCAATCGTTGGTTGTTTCTTCGGACTTGATAAGAAAACAAATAAGGTTTCTAGAGTTTACACTGTATCGCGTGATGGAGCCATTTTTAGCTGGGGTTACAGTGAAACTGATGAGAAATTTGATGAAATGGATTGTGATGTTTCTGAACCAGAATCCCCAGGTACACCAGAACAAAGGCAAGCACAGAATGAGGAAGTAGATTGGACTCGGGTTTCAATCAAACCTATAATTTAACTAGATGGATAAGTGAAGAGAATGGTCTTGATTAATAATTAGTTGTTAACGGTTAACTAATAGTTAATTGTGGGCAAATTATTGTATGGACCATGGTCTACGTAATTGTGTGAACCATGAATATCAAGTACATTTTTAATATATTAAAAGTACATTATTTATGTACTGAAGGTATATTATTTTTGTATTGAAGGTACATTATATAAAATAATGTACATTTAGTATATTAAAAATGTATTTTCAGAAAATGTATCTTACGTACATAAATAATGTACCCTTTATATATTAAAAATGTACTTTTTATTTATAGTCCATACAATTGTATGGACCATGGTCCATGCAATAATGATTGCTAATTGTGTTACATGGTTTGGCCAAGTGGTTTGGCTAACTGTTTGTGGAGATGTCTGATAAAATTAGATGTTAACTTTAGCATGTAACAAGAAGTAAATGACACTTCTAATTGGGAGGTCATGTGTTTGAGCCTCAGTGGGGGAGATGTTGACTCTTGGACTTCAGTAGGTTGAGAAAGTATATATATGAACAGATACTACATGTAATAAGGTCAATATTACTCAAAAAAAAATAAAAAAATTAGCATGTAACATGTAAAATGACTTTAAGGACATAAATTTTTTTATAATAGTAATTTATTAATTATTAATAATTATATATAAATAAAAAACGTGCCAAACAAAATATATAAATAAAAAAAATTATTTTAATAACTAACTTTTATAATAAAAAAATTAAACGCTTAATAAAAAATATTATATTATTTTTCACTATCTTTCATAAACAAACACATTATAATATAAAATAAAATAAAAATACGTGGGTTAAAATAAAAAGTTCATAAAATGATGGGGGAATTAAGAAAAGTGATGGTATTTAAAGAATTTGATAATCTATTTTCAAAAAGCGAAAGTGAAAAGTTACTATAGAGGGCGTTTTGTCACGGGCATAGAGTCTAGCACAGCGCACAGCGTCCGTGCGGTATCCCGGGGTCCCTCATATCTTGCAGATCAGCCTTTATTTACATACGAGCCAATTTGGTTTCACCCTGCCATGGGCTCATTAGGGAAGCAGCATCAACATCTCCCAACCAGTTGTGCCCTTCAATTCGATCGCACCGGTCCCTTTCATAGTCAAGTTCAAGACTAGTGACAGGTTCCCCAAACTTAATCGAGTCAGCGTGCCTGACTCGGCCAGACCTTAGCGTTTAAGGCAGAACAACCCTCAACGCTATTGACGCACCCTTCACCCGCATGGCATTGCTAACCAGTTGGCCGTTTCTACATTCTTTTAGGACTTACATGGTCACGGAAAAACAGTCCGTGACACTCTCCCCCATCCAACATCTAGCACGCCCTCGTGCTAGGGGGAGATGGCCTCTGGCCAAGGATCGCCGTACTAAATATTGCATACGCGCCACAAACGTCAAGACATCTCACGAAGAGTAGTTCGACTGACCTGGCAGCTACCCAAGTCCCCTTTCCTCGCGAGACCCATCCGCCTCCTACGGATCAACGGAGTGGAGCTGTCATCAGCACGTGCGCATCCCCCTCGCCCCACCGTGCTCGCATAGTCCTACCTCTAGGACCCCACCATAAGGCGCAGCGCAACAATATAAGTATGTCCCGCTCTGATACCACTTTGACATGGGCATAGAGTCCAGCGCAGCGCACAGCGCCCGTGCGGCATCCCGGGACCCCTCATACCCCGCGGATCAACCTTTACCCACATACGAGCCAATCTGGTTTCGCCCTACCATGGGCTCATCAGAGAAGCAGCAACATCTCCCAACCAGTTGTGCCCTTCAATCGCATCGGTCCCCTTCATAGTCAAGTCTAAGACTAGCGAGAGGCTCCCCAAACTTAATCGGTCAGCATGACTGACTCGGCCAGACCTTAGCGTCTAAGGCAAAACAACCCTTAACACTATTGACGTCCCCTTCACCCGCATGTCATTGCTAACCAGTTGACCGTTTCCCCATTCTTTTGGGTCTTACACGATCACGGAAAAACAGTCCGTGACAGTTTGGTAGCTAAAAAATTTCAAACTTTCTTGAGAATTTAAAAGGTAGGAAAGTTATTCTCACATTCGTATAAATTTTTTACATAGAAAAGTTCATGCCAATGAGAATCAAAGTCTATGATATCAAGAAAAGTAAACCCCATAAGCCACCTTGGGGAGGTAGGACTCTTTTCTCCGAGCGACTGAAATCTACAAAATTTATTCAATTACTTATTTATCATTTTTTGCACCAAATTCAAAAAACCTTTTATAAATATAAGAAATATGTCTCTCCCACCATTACGAAATATAATAACACTATTTATCGAATTTATCTCTCTCAACACGTTTTTACATTTATACTATTTTGTATTTTATAATATTCTGGCTATAGATTGAAAGTTATGATTTCCATATTTTTTACATTTTAATTCGATGATAGTGTGGAGCTTTCTAAGTATACGTTGAGAGAGTCATAGTAATACATGCATTTATGTAACATAATATGAATAAAACTTTTTTTAATACTAGCCAATGAAAATTTGCCAGTTAATAAAAGATCAATCCCAATAGAAATTTGTCAAGTGATCAAATAATCAATAGAGTTTTTTCTTATAAGAAAGAAAAAAAAAAAAAAAAAAAAAAGGAAGAGGTTGGAAAATTAGAACACAAAAGGGTGATATTACAAGTAAAAACATAAAGGCGTGCACAATTCTAATGAACTGTTTGGTTCACGGAATAAGCCTAGAATTAGGGTGTGTTTAGTTGGTGGGTTTTGCCCATAGAAATGGGTATGAAAGTGATTGTTGTCGTTTGGTTGATAGGTTTTTAGAACATTACTATGAGTTTCGAATACCCCATCAATTGAAAAATCCATACCTAAATAAAATAAGGATTTCATTCCATTATTCATTCTCAAGCACTACTATTAGTAACTATTCCCATTCTACCCTACTACCAAACATGTTAAATACTTTCACCAAAACCCATTACCATTACCAAGTATTTGATACCCATTCCGATTCCAATTCCTATGTGTGAACCAAACACACCCTTAGAGTCATCAAAAATGGGTTTTACCTGTTGGGTCGATTCGTTCCGTCCCGCCGTAAATAGAGGACGGGTTCTTAATTATTTCACCTATCAGGAGGCGGGCCTTTTAGCACGCCCCCTGAGTCACGGGCCCAAGCGAGGCGGGTCAGGCGGGCCACGAGTTTAGCCCGCGGCCTACTAATCTATATTTAAAAATATCACAGCTTGCTTCACAATTCCCAATTTCCAAATCAATGATGTTAGAGAAGGAAAAGAACCATCCATGATATGAATGATATAATGGTTGATGAATTATGAGTTTTAGAAGTTTAGTATTTGCAAAACTATTTTATTTTAATTCCTAATGTTGATAGAAACTTGAAAGTTTGGATAATTTCTATTAGTTTTTAGTTATTTTAATTTGTATTAATATTTATTATTTAATACATGTTGTTAGTTTGCATGTCATTTTTTTAAATTAAAACATTTACACAGTAGTGTAACAACAAGCCTACAGTACAACAAATCTTTTCTAATTAACAAAAAAATATTGGCTAGCGGGCTGGCCCGCCCCTCTAGCGGCGTCTTTGGCATGGCAGGCCGGGCAGGCCACATTCCAAGCCCGCTAAGAGGCGGGCTT